ATCTTGTGCGAGAGTTGACTGACACTAAGGAACAGTTTAATCACTTGCATGAGGAAAGGCTTGTCCTCTTACTTACGTGCGCTTTTTGGGGTCGGCATGTTACAGCAGTATGCACTTAGCACATTTTAGTCGGTAATTCCCTTTTTTTTCTTTGTTTTCGTTTCACGCATAAACTACCGAGTGTTAAGGCCAGAAAGGACTCTTACGTACTTAAATACGCTTCACTATGCACATTTTATACCTTGCACGTTTAGTTTTAGTTCAGATTCCGTTCAATTTCAAGTTTTTGCAATCTTCGGAGGTACAAAAATCATCGATAACGTTTGTAAGCTTCGCTAAAAGGGTTTGAACTTACGGGGTTTTTGTGTTCTATTGTACCTGCAACATTTGTTTTGTTATTTTTCTCCAGAACCAACTCCCGGGGAAAGGAAATTTTATTTAAATCTGACCAAGATCGATTATATCGTTGGTGAATTGTTTAAGAATAAAGTGAAATTAGTGTAGTGAATGCAATTCGTTTACATGCTGCTTCATGTAGCTTCCGAAATAGCTAATAGCTTCTGCCTGAAAATTGTCTTTAGACTTACTCGCCATTCAATCATAAAATTAGTTCTTTGAAGACAGTTTTTAAACCAGCATTTGAAATTTGAAGTTATACCTCAAGCATCGGATATGTTATTGACTAAGTCCGATATTAGATACTTTAAAAGTTAATTTTTATCTATTACCTGTGCAACCGTTCTTTTATTGAAATAAAAAGTTAAAAGAACCTTTTTCTTTTTCGGAGTCTGCCAGGGCTAAATTCCAAAAATTTGGCTGCAAGTTGTCAGAGTCAGCTTTCTGTAAGCCAGTTAAACAGTTTTTCTATTTCGTAAATTAAATTACTGATCAAGAAATACGGAAAGAAATTTTTGGAATCTGAAAAAAAAGATAAACTCGTCATTAATTTTGAAGCCCCTGATTAGTCAAGTCTTTCATGTTTAACATGAAAAATTACAGACCCAGAATTGACCCTTACTTTTTGACGTAATGTAGCAAAATGTTTAGATAGAACTGTATAGAAGTCCTAATGCCCGAATGTTTAAATTTTGCGCTGTTTGCATATGAAAACCATCCAGATAACGTAACACGAGGTTGTAAAGAATCCGGCCGGAGAATTTCCCAAAGCAAGGAGCGATTGAAACTGGTCCATATAGTTGAGATGCAGCTTTACCGCCAGCTTTGAAAATAGGTCTTATAGAGACGAATTTTTATTTCCTTGAGCCATACCATGCCATACATAAAAGATAACATTAAAAAAATGTGCTTCAGCATATCACATCTGATTTTCAAAGATATGGGAAAATCATCTCAGCCAACAGCTTTTCGTAGTTGAAACTGGTTTTCCAAAGCAATGATTTGTTCCTCCATTGCAATGTTTAGAAAAAGTGATTGAACCAATATAGCGTGTACATTTTACATACATTTCGGTTCTCGTTTTCCAATTTTCCAACCCCGTGAATCTTCATAATAAATGACATTTTCATCATTTCAAAGCCACTTGTTCTACAACTGGAGGTTTCCTTTTGTGATTTCCAAGTTTTTAAATACTTGTTTACGGTCTGCAATTCGCAGTCTAAGTCATTAGTAATGTGTCTAGTGTTCGCCATTCGTCATCAATTTTTAAATCTCTTTGACTAGCAGATGAACACAGGTGGTATTTCTCGCCTGCTGGATACATTGCAAATGCGTTGCAATCAAGTTATGTTGAAAAATTAATTGTAAATCTCTTTCCCCCCTTAAGCTTCGAAACACGTTTTACTAAGACGACAAAGCAGTATCGTTACGCGGAGGCGTGAAGTGACTGCCTGCCAAAGGTAAATTGGTAAATTTTCCCTTCATATATTTCGAGCGCGATGAAAAGAATGGTGAAAAGAACCCATTTTGGCGAGTAATCCATTTCCGGGTTTACTGAGTACATAAGAAAAGCCTTATGTAAGTGGTAAACCTAGAAATGGATAACTCGGCAAAATGGGTTCTTTTTAACATAGTAAGCGGTCAGATAGCGAGCGATGCACTATGGAAGTAAGGTGAGGTATTTTTTATTGAGAATTTGACTGCATTTTTTATTCCTAAGAGCGGTCTTAAATATGCCCCTTCAAAGTCTTATAATATTTCGCCATGACTCTTATTTCGCATGATGATAATCTCACAGCTGGAGCTTGTGCTGCCTGTGGTTAAAATTGACGAAATTAGCTTTGGAGCTGGCCATAGTTCGGAACTGATAAATAATCTGGAGTTGCTTCTGGCTGCC